AAGACTAAAATAGTGTTTCTGTTCTCTGCTTCGAGGTAGTTTATTCTCATTGCCGGTTAGGAATGCTTCACATCTTGACCGCACCTCATCGGGTCTTGAGTGAAACGGCCTCGAGTTGAAAGAACACACAGACGCTTTCCCGGACATGCCTTCTGGGAGTCCTTAAGAGTAATCTGTTTGCGGGCGTTGGTAATTAGTTTGAAAGGTGTTCGCCTCGATTTTTCCTGTTTTGTTAATTGTAAGCTCTAAAATATTTCATTGTCTTCTATAAAAAAATTTTGGGAAATGAGGGCATTACCTGTTAACTAAAGCTTAGTTTATGTGAATGGGGTGGCTGCGAGTTGAGGTGCCCTTGCGCTTCGGTCACGGTGCGCTCTAGTCAAATGTCTACATTTACATTCATATCCTACCACAGGTTTCCCGCCATTCTGTGCGTCGACGGCGCATGAGACCTATCAGAATGTGATGTCGTGGCGCGAGACCCTTACTTTTCCCCCGGAGACACCCATTTCCAAGGAAGCTCACGACTTAATTACCTCGCTGTGTACTGATGCAGAGTCGCGTCTCGGCTCCAATGGAGGGCTGGAACAGTTCCGTAAGCACCCGTTCTTCGTCAATGTGGATTGGGAGAACATCCGCGAGCGCCCAGCCGCAATTCCCGTTCAGATCAGATCCATTGATGACACCAGTAACTTTGATGAGTTTCCAGACGAAGATCTCACTTGGCGTAAGTCTTATTGTATGTGTCTCTTCTACTACTTCAGCCATCACTCTACTAACCATCTCCCGCCTTTCACGTGTAGCAAACGTGACAGACCCGAAGAAGTCCTACAAGAAGGACTTGGCCTTCATAAATTACACATACAAGGCGTTCGATGGGTGTTCCAGCTGCGATCGTCGGATAGCGCGTCCCACAAGTCATCATCCGCAAAGACATGTCCGCCCCTGCACAGCAGCGGCTGGAACTGCCCCCTCTGTGGGCTGAGAAGGTGTCTTTCTCATTTATGCTCCCATCATTACATTCCAGATCACAAAAGCGTGTGTGCTCTTCTGTATAGAAAATTTCCACCCACCCCCACTGTTTTTTCCTGAATTTTATAATCCGGCGCACACATACATACTATCTGCCTGTTCTCCCCTTATCCCCTATTCATGTGTTTCAAGAGCTTTCACTCAAACGCACATTGCAGACCTAGTTGTTTCTTCCCTTTCTTCATCTCGTCTCCTTCTTTTCAACCGCAAAAAAAATCAGAAAGAATTTTGCTCAAACCATCATTAGCACCCGCAGCATTTTGCACTACGGACTCTGTATTGCGCACGACCACCCGTGTTCTGCCATTTCTCAGTCTCCACACC